ACCCAATTTTATTTTTTTTCCATTTAGATATCCAAATATTACAGTACTATTTGTCAAGTAGCTCCTTTCTTCCTCACCGATTTGTAATGCAATTTCCATCATATATCAAGCAGCCACACATACATGTTTGTTGCTCAGTCCTCAGTTCTGTTTCACTGGTCTATTTGTCTGTAGTTGTGCAAATACTATATTGTCTTAGCTGCTATAAATTTATAATAAATTATATAGGGCAAGTTTCTGCAGCTCCTTCATTTGTTTTAAAAATGGATTCATCACTCTTTAATTATTCCATATGAATTTAAAATCAACTAGTCAAGTTCCACCGAGCATAATTGGAATCTTGATTTGCTTTGTACTGAATTTGTGTATTATTTTAGGAAGGAATTATATCTTTATGATATTGAGTTCTCATATATATAGACATGGTATATATTTCACATACTTATCCTTAATGAATAAAGTTTCTAATGTATCTTTTGTGTATTCAGGTATCTTTTGTGTTTCTTTGCTTCTGTGATAGCTGTCTTTTAAAAATTATATTTTTATAATTTTGATGAAGAATGTGATTGTGAACATGAATTTTAAAAAGTCCAGCCACCTTGCTAAACTCTCTTATTAATCATCGTAATTTGAGTGTTAGATTATCTTGGATTTTCTATGTAAACCACGCAGCATACTCCTTAAAATTCATGTATTTAGAATTCATATTTTAATTAGGCAATGCAATCAACTCTAAAAGTACATTTAAAACACGTACCCTAACACTTTCCTTCTCACTCTTGTCCCCCTTTTCACTCAGTTTCTGACCGTTCACCTCTCATAGATAACCACGATTATTAATTTTCCGATTTTTCCAGAGCTGCTTTGTGCCACACAGGCAAGCATAGTTTAGATTCTTTTTACTCTCTTCTATTCGCAAATATAGCAAATTATGGAAAGAGTTCTGCACCTTGCCTTTCTCCCTTAGTTATAGCTGGAAAAATAAAAAAATCAAAAGCCTCTTTAATAGCAAAAGGGGAGGGGAAACGAGGTGTCGAGCTAGCAAACGACAGAGTCTATCAGGGAGGTGGCTAGAGAGGCCCGGAAGTGGCTTCTGTGCCCCGCCTTGCGGGTGGTTTGCTAGTTTCGAGCACTTTGTGAGTATGGGGTGAGTAGCGGACGCCAATTGGGCGTCCGCCTTCCACTGTGGGGTTAAATCTCATCCCGCGGCTCTCCTCCTGTCGGTCCTGCAGTTCTTTTGTCCCCTGGTAGAGGTGCGTTTGCAGGGGTGTGTGTGTGTGTGTGTGTGTGTGAATTTGTGGAGAGAGGCCCTTCCCTCCCCAATTCCTGCAGCCTCGGCTCCCAAGGAGGGAGACCCCTGCGAGAAGCCGTGGGGGAGGGAGGGGCGCTCTGCGTCTGAACGAAGTGGTGCTCGGCGTTCCCTCGTAGAGCCCAATATGAGTGTCCCTTGTTTAGAGCCGTTACCGAGTGTCTGGGTCGGTTCTTGAGGGTGTCTGGAGACGGGATGCATGGGTCACATAGACAAGCCTCGAAAATGGGAGCCGTTACATTTTTGCACTGCCTGGTAACAAGGTCAGTTTCAAGGTCTTTAAATTATTCTGTGGTACTGGCCAAGAGCCAGAACGTTGGAGTCAGATTACCTGATTCGAATCCTGCCTCTGCCACTTATTGGCTGTGTGACTTTTCACTAGTTCCTAACCTCTCTCTGCCTCCTTTTACTATTTTGCAAAATGGGGATAATATTCCTTAACTCACTGGGTTGTTGTGAGGATTGAATGCATTAATATGTGTAAGGTGCAGAGTAAGCATGATTTAAAGATTTCCTTTTATTAGTAGTACCATTATTATTTATAACTATGATGACACATTATCTTTAATTACTGGTTTTTGTACGGTTGCTTTCAATTTTAGTGTCATTCATCAATTCACTGTGTAATGGATTATTTCTATATTTTAGGAGGGAAAAATAAGATACTCTGAAAAAGAGCCTATCCCAAAGCAAAGACCAAAACTGGTTTGTGTTGTACGTTGTGATACTCAAACTCCCAAAGGCTTTAAGATTCGGGGGTACCTTTTCCTTGGCTGGAGAGTAGGAGGAACAATAGAAGTTTGTAATAGTGAAAAAGGACGAGGACCCCTGGTTTTAGCAAAAATCTGATGTCCTGCTTAGTGCTGGAGATGCACCAGTTTTTGAGCTTCCAGGAACGCCCTAGCCTGAAACTGGCTTCATACTAACACCCTTCATTTCAACCCAACTTCGACAGGGTTAACTCTCTTTTCTAGACTTGTAACTCTTTTCTGTTAATGAGAAACTTTCCTTTCCTTATCGTCAGTACATTTACTGATTTGATAAATAATTTGTGTTTGCAACCAATTTCCCAATCTTGTGCCTTCCCACTGTGATCAATTTGGCTCAGATCCAAGTAGGGTCCAGGTAGTGAAACCTAAATGGAGTTTGTGGAATAAATGATATAAATGTATCAGTGTTGTTTACCTGCCATAGACTTCCTCCCTTTCCCACCGTGGACACCCTCCTCATTCCACTTGGGCTCCAGATTCACTCTGGGTTGGGCTATGGCTCTCTCTTGCCTTCTTTGACCCTACCTTAATGCTTTTTGACTGTATTATTCAGGAAGGAAGGAAGTTAGGACTTTGTTCAATTTTCTAAAATTTTGGAGAGAAATTTAAACACATTTAATTGTAGAGAGAATGTTACAGTGAACACCAATATAACCATGACTCGGCTTCAGCCATCATCTTCTGGTCATTTTCATTCTTCTTTTCCCTCCTTTCCCCTGTCTTTCCTTCCCTTCTCCTCCTCCTTCCCTTCTGTCTTCCTCCTTCCCTTTTACTTGTTCCCTCTTTCCCTCTCTCCTTTTTTTCCCTCTCCTTCCTTTGTCTTCCTTTCCCTCCCTCCCTCTCCCCCTCTTTCTTTATTTCTTTTTTTTTCCTCATTACATCCCTCCTCTCTTTCATTTTATAACAAATTGCAGATGGAAACATTTTAATTCACTCACAAGTACAAGTACTTCAGTGTCAATTTCTTATATATAAGGACTTTTATCTTGATATAATCATAGTATCATCACATGCAACAAAATTGACTAATTCCTTGATATCATTATCTTGATTTTCAAATAATTGTCTCAAATATTTTTACAGTTTTTTTTTTTTTTACAGTCTTTTTACAGTTGTTTTCAGTGGGGTCCAAATATGGTTCACCATTTGCATTTATTTGATAAGTCTGTTCAGTCTCCTAATCTATTGACTGTTCCCATTCCCTCCCACTCCTTTTGGTAAAAATACCATTTATTTGTTGAGGAACTTGAACCTTCTGTTTTATAAAATGCCTCACATTCTGGATTTGGTCGATTGCTTCTTTTTAGTATCTTTAACTTATTAGATCTCAAACTCAGCTGCACATTAGAATCACCTAGAAAGTTTTAAGTTATTGATGCTGAGTCCCACCCCCAGAGAGTGATTTAATTGATTTTTTTTTTCATTGCTGTCTCCACCTCCCAGGTTCAAGTGATTCTCATGCCACAGCCTCCCAAGTAGCTGGGATTACAGGTGTGTACCACCACGCCCAGCTAATTTTTGTATTTTCAGTAGAGACAGGGTTTCGTCATATTGGCCAGACTGTTCTTGAACTCCTGACTCCAGGCAATCTGCCTCAGCCTCCCAAAGTGCTGGGATTACAGGTGTGAGCCACTGCACCCAGCCTGATTGATCTTGATTGTACCCAAGGCATTAGGAGTTTTAAAAGTTCCCTAGTGATTCTAATATGTAACAAAGTTTGAAAGCCTTTAATATAATTTTTTCCTATATTTTGCCTGTACATTGGTATTTGGATCTAAAGACTACATTAGATTTAGGGTCACTTATTTTGGTATTATTAGCTCATGTAGCAGTGCCCCAGATCTCTTGTGGCAGCTTATTAGGAGGAAGTGTTTTCTGGTACTTTTCATTTGTAACAATCAATGGGTTCTCTCAGTTTCCTAATTTCCTTCTATTCCCTACCATCCTTTGAACTATAGAGAGTTGGCCTGAGGAATAGAGGTTCAGGATACAGATTTGGAATTGTTTTTCCCTTTGTAACCTCTACCAGCCTTACTTTTTTTTTTGAGACGGTCTTGCTCTGTTGCCAGGCTGGAGTGCAATGGCACAATCTTGGCTCACTGCAACCTCTGCCTCCCAGGTTCAAGCAATTCTGCTGCCTCAGCCTCCCAAGTAGCTGGGACTACAGGCGCCTGCCACCACGCATGCCCAGCTAATTTTTGTATTTTTAGTGGAGACGGGGTTTCACCATGTTGGCCAGGATGGTCTTGATCTCTTGACTTTGTGATGCGCCCACCTTGGCCTCGCAAAGTGTTGGGATTACAGGCGTGAGCCACCGCGCCCGGCGCAGCCTTACATTTTCTAGCCTCTCCATTCCACTGAGTAAAGACAGACTTACTGACATCTGAGTCCAGTCAAATAATTTTGCAGTCACTCACTTCTAGTTTAAAATCTAGTCCCAGCTGGTTCACAGGAATCTCAGGTTTCCCTTCCCTCTTAGATCAGGCCCAGGTCTCATGGCTTCTGGGATAGGCTGTCTTTCAGAATATCTTACTTTTCCCTCCTAAAATATAGAAATCATCCATTACAAAGTAATGACTCTGAGGAAACCTGGTGGCTGGTGCTATTGTTTCTAGAGAATACCATACTGAGGAAGGAGTAGATTAGGAAGCAAGAAAATCAGTTTGATTTGGGGCATATTGAATTGGATTTGTTTGCAAGATTTCCATATAGGACTGTCTGGGAGGCAGCTCAGGATAGGCATCAGGAGTCTACAGCCTAGAAATAGAAGTTAAAACCTTGCAAGTGATTAAACATAGTTCTGGGGAAGACTGTGGATAGAGAAAAGAAAAGGTCAAGAACAGAACCACCAGGCCTACTCTTATTTAAAAAAAGAAAGACCAGTGAATTATACTATTAGCCAATATGTATATGGTACTTACCACTGTCATGCCAAGTGTCAGGTTCCAGCCCATACTGAGGTCCGAGGGGAGTTGTTGGATAGGTGGCAGATAGTTGAAAGAACACTTGGGGCTGTAGACAGGTAAAATATGATTTTAGTCAGCAGCAGCTGCTGCAGCTCTCACACTGTCTGCCTCTGTCTCGGGTGCCTCCTCCGACCACAGCCCTTCTCAGCAACCGGCTCTGTGGCTTCTGCCGCTCCCACACTTACAGCTGTACTCCTTGGCACACTTGTTAATTCCTGGCTCCCCTCTGTCGGTCTGCAAGACAGCCAGTTCTCTCTTCCAAGGTCAGCAGTTTTTCCCTCTCTCTCTGGGCATGAGTCCTATGTACAGTGTCAGCAGGGCAGTTATACCATTTACACACAATAGTGGCTGTGAGCCAAGTATGAGCTTACACAAACAGGTTATATAACAAGTGGAGTGGTGCGCCTGCGTTTGAGACTCGCTGAGTCACACTGGCCTGCATATCTGCCTCAGCCTGTTCTTGACCAAAGCACATCCATTTTTACCTTACACTCCACCCCCTTGGCCGAGGGAGACATAAGTTTTTAGGTACACAGGCCCAATATATAGGTTTGGCACGCAGGCCTGACATATACACTTTCGGCACCCAGGGCTGATACATACACACAGGCTTGACATGTAAGTCTGACACATAGGCTCTGGGCACACAGGCCCAGTGTATACATAGAGGCTTGACACATAAGCTGTAGGCACTCGGGCCACAGTAGTAATACAGGGAGCAATAATTTCAGGTTATAGTAGGCAACCACCCCATGGTGATGTTACCCCGATGTTGCTTTATATATTAAGCCAGGTTTTTTGCTTCCCTACCTTTAGGGGCATTGGGGCAGGCAACAACAGGTTACCGTTTGTCCCCATACCTGGTTAGAGGAAGTCATCCTTTCTCCCATAGGTCTGGCCACATGGCCTGGCCCTACATGGGTCAGTGACTAACCACTTCTGTAACTTCTAGGTAGTTAGCCACAAGGTTAAGCCTTGATAAACTGCCCAGCTATTGGTGCAGATTACCACAGGTGTCACCTTCTTGGTGATCATCATTTACATTGCCCTGAGTTCAGCTTATTAGCTACTTTGTCCACACCTGGTATCAAACCGTAGGGTGTCAGTACTAGGCTGGGCTTCAACAGCAGTCCAGGCAGCAGTAGCACCCTGGCTAGACCTATCTGTGTACCACGCCCTATTGGGAATGCAGGGATGCCCTTCCTTAAAAGATGAAGGCTCAGGGTCTAGGGGTGCCTCAGGTCCCATAGCCTTATCTTGCATTAGGATAGTAGGTACTAAGACTTCTTGTAATTGTGCTGCTAAGGGACTTGACTTAGCATACTTTGCTGTTCCGTGTAGGCTTAGGCACCCCACTTTGCAAAAGTGGATGTCTGTGCCATCCCAGTGTGCGGGTTGTTACCTATGAGCATACCTACCCTACTGTTGGGTAAGTCATGCACACAACGACTGTAGCCCGTCCTGCCAGGCTGTCATGAGTCTAAAGGGCAGCATATGCAGTTACTAACTCCTCTGTCGAGGAATACCGGAGCTCAGCTCCCTTTCAAAGTTGGGATGAAAAGTCTACTGGCATTCTAAAGAGCTCTGTGCAATGCCATAAGCCCCAGTCAAAAATATCTGTGGTCACATGCACATCAAGTTTAAATGGGTGCCCCGATCAGCTACCCATAGGGCTTGTGCCTGCTGAATAGCCTGTTTGGCTGCCAGGAAGGTGGTTTCAGCCGCATCATCCCAATTCCAGGCAAGAGGCTGCGTTGCTGCTTCTAAATCTGCAAGAGAATCAGAGGTTAATATAATAACATCATTAATAAGATCATGACATATGTTGGGGCTGTGCATATATCCCTGCAGCAACACTGTGAAAGTCCATCATCATCCTCCCATGAAGGCAAAGTGTTCCTGGCTCTCTGGAGCAATGTCCATTAAGAGGAATGCATTGGCCAAGTCCACCACACAGTGGCACCATCCCAGTTCTGTTGTCAGGTGGTCTATCAAATCCATGATAGATGGCTCAGCTGCCAAGCCGTGCAAAACATCCACCCCAGCCTGTCCTCAGGCATGGGAGAGACATACACAGTGCATAAGCGGGGAGCCAAGCGGCCGATGCCAAGGTCCGAAGGTACCAGGTTTCACTTTCACTGACCAGCTTTCATAACTGTCAATAAATGCAGCTCTGCCCGGAAACGTATTCAGGTTTAGGGACCAGTAGACTGCCGAGTCCACATATGGCCTTTGGTTGTCCGTTGTCCCCCTAAGTCCGGCACCTTGGCCAGTTCCCAATCAAACAGGAAAGGCTTTACATTTCTGCCTGACTGCAGCAGGTAATCTTTGAGCTGGAACGCTCTGGCGGGACCGAGTCACCCAGCAATGTCCTTTTCACGAATGACTTGCACAAGTCTGTATACGACTGCCATCTACTGACAGTTTCTGGTATTTCACTGGCATCAGTCCACACTGTAATTAAAGAAGCCAGCTTTTCCATCTCAGAGGCGGAGCAGGAAATGGATCAGCTCCTTTGTCCCAGAGAGAGAGAATTCAGGCAGGGAGGGGCTCCCCCAGATGCTACTGGCACTGCTTACATAACTCCCGCAACTCAGTGGAGGTACAAACACTATATGAAATGTGCTTCACTATGGTAGGGGGTCTCTAGGCCCACCCTTGGGGCCCAGTGGCTGTTCATGCTCTATTTTCTGGCAGACCACTGGGTGAGCCTGTAATGGAGGTTTTTCCTCCTCCCTGCGTTGCGTCCAGCAGAGACTGGGCATGCACTTCTTGCAGCACAGTCACAAATGCCCATCTGACTCTGTTGGCAAAGGCACACTCCTCAGTGCTGTGCACTTCCAGGTGCTTCAGCTCCTTCTCCACACTTGTGGAGGGCCTGTCCAGTGTCGCCCATGTTTCCACCAGAGCCCATCCTCGCACCACGGCTGCCACTGGGTGCCACAGCTCATGCTGTGACTGCATAGCCGGCCCGGGAGCCTGGGAGCTGGAGACCCACTCACCTCATCCTGCCCACTATGCCAAATGTCAGGTTCAAGCCCCAGCTGAGGTCTGAGGGGAGTAGGTGGATGGGGGGGCAGGGAGCTGGAAGAACACTTGAGAGACAGCAGGTAGATGGGACATGGCTTTACTCAGCAGCTCTTTCACAGTGTCAGTGCTGCATTTACACACCTCACAACAGTGTCTTAGAGCCAGGTGATGAGCCTCCCCAGGTTATGGCTACATAACTGTGATTGTATAATGCACGGAATTGTGTGCCTGCGCTCCAATCCCACTGAGTCATGCAGGATGTTTACCTCGGCCTATGCCTGCCTGGCTGCAGCACAGCCATGTTCCTTATGTCCACATACCAGGCACTGTTATACGGACGTTATACACTCACTTAATGCTTACAATGGCCCTATCTACTATCACTATCCCTATTACAGATAAGGAAAGGGAGGCACAGAGCTAGTAGGTAGTAAAACCAGGATGATGACGACCTCAGGAAACCTGGGTTCAGAACACTTAACCAGATTATGATGGGAGGTGAGAAGCAGCAGGAAGGAGGAAAGCAGGAGAAAGGAAGGTTCTTGAAACAAAGGACAAGTGAGTTTCTGGAAGTGGGCAGTATCCTCAGCCCAGTTGCCTGAGAAGAGGCCATGGAAAATGGGAATTGAGGGAAGTCTCTTTGGTTACTTCTGCAGGCGAAATCTTAGTGGTGTTGGCAATTTGCAGCCTACAGTGTGTGGAAGGCTTAGTAGGAGGTGAGGACTAGAATCAGGGACTGAGGGCTTTCTTTCAAGTTCAGTCTTGAAGGGGAAGAAAGAGAGTGGCAGACTGAGGAGGTGGCGAAGACCAGGGGCAGCCTGTGCTCTCCCCAGGGCAAGGGCTTGGTGATGTTTTCAGCTTCCTTGATGTTTCTGAAACTGAAGGGCCTCCAGCCCATAGATCAGAAGAACCTGCAGAAACCCTACTTTCAGCTGACTTTTAATGTGAATATTTTGCCAGTTTTTTGGGCAAGTGTCACATCAGATATAACTGAGGGTCTCACTAGCAGGCAGCCAAGGTTTGTTAATTCAGTCCTATTTCTTTTGGTCCAGGGCCTTCTATCCTTCTTCTTCCCCTCACTGCAGTACCTTGACCACAGATAAGACCTGGTACAGCCATCCTTCATTATCTATGGGGGATTATCATTTCAGGATCCCCACTGATACCAAAAGTTGTGGATGCTCGAGACGTACATAAAATGGCATATGGTATTTGCCTATAACCTACACACATCCTCCTGTATACTTTTGTTTTTAAAGAGATGGAGTCTCTACACTGTTACCCAGGCTGGAGTACAGCAGCACAGCCATGGCTTACTGCATCCTTGAACTCCTGGGCTCTCAGGTGATCCTCCTGCCTCTTCCTCCTGAGTAGCTGGGACTGCAGTAGTGTGGCACCAGGCTCAGCTTCTCTTGTACACTTCAGATCATCTCTAGATTACTTATAAACCAAATACAATATAAATGCTTTGTAAATCCTTGTTATATTGTATTTTTATTTGTATTTTTTAATTGTTGTTTTTGTTATTTTTTTCCCAGATATTTTCCAGCTGTGGTTAATTGAACCTCTTGATGCAGAACCTGCAGATATAGAATCAATTGTATTAGTTTTCTATTGCTGTATAACATTTACCTCAAATTTATCAGCTTAAAACAAAATGTGGGCTGGGTGCAGTGGCTCATGTCTTTAATCCCAGCACTTTGGGAGGCCGAGGCAGATCTTTTGAGGTCAGGAGTTCAAGATCAGCCTGGTGAACATAGTGAAACCCCATCTCTACTAAAAATACAAAAATTAGCTGGGCATGGTGGTACACGCCTATAATCCCAGCTACTTGGGAGGCTGAAGCAGGAGAATCTTTTGAACATGGGAGGTGGAGGTTGCAGTGAGCTGAGATCATGCCACTGCGCTCCAGCCTGGGCGACAGGGCGAGACTCTGTCTCAAAATAAACAAGCAAAAAAAAGAAAAAATCAGCTTGTTTGTTCCAGTTCTCTAGGTCAGAAGGCCAGGCAGGCTCAGCTGAGTTCAGTATTAGGGTCTTCCCAGGCCAAAGCCAAAGAATTGGTAGGGCTGGGCTCTTATCTGGAGGCTCTTATCTGGAAGCTCTGAGAGGAATCTACTTATGAGGTCATTGAGATTGTCGGTAGAATTCAGCTCCTTGGGATCAGTCCAGTCAGTCTGGACTTGCTATCTCATATTGAAAGTCCTGAGGATTAGGGCAGGAAATCGTTAGAGTCGTCTTAGAATTTAGACAACCACAGACCTGCTTGTTAATGGGATAACTGAGCAAGTCACTGAGAGGAGCTTCCTAGAGAGACCAGGAAGTGCCCTGGGTCCTCACCAATTTCAGTTTTTTTCCTGATTAGTCCGGGGCTTGGGGATGTCTAGGATCACCCCAGGACATCCTTTGGAACCTTACTGTGGGATTCAGGCTTGGGGTGGTGTAGAGGATTAAGCTGCAGAACCATTGAACGTGGAGAAATTTCTGCAGCAGTTCCCCAGAGATGTCTCTGGGCCCCTGGGCAGGAGAGAAGGGACTACTTGCAAGTTTACTGGTTAATAATTATTTCCCACCTTTCAGGAATCTTCTGCAGAAATAGCGCTGGAAGCTAGAGTGAGGCCTGAGTACTGCCTTGGCCCAGGATGGCTAGAGAATTAAGTGAAAGCACAGCCCTGGATGCCCAGCCTACAGAAGACAAGATGGAGCTTCTGGTCATAAAGGTGGAGGAAGAAGAGGCCGGTTTTCCCAGTAGCCCAGATCTGGGCTCTGAGGGCTCCCGCGAGCGCTTCCGAGGCTTCCGCTACCCGGAGGCTGCAGGTCCCCGCGAGGCGCTGAGCCGGCTCCGAGAGCTCTGCCGACAGTGGCTGCAGCCTGAGATGCACAGCAAGGAGCAGATCCTGGAGCTGCTGGTGCTGGAGCAGTTCCTGACCATCCTGCCTGGGAAACTGCAGAGCTGGGTGCGGGAGCAGCATCCAGAGAGCGGGGAGGAGGTGGTGGTGCTGTTGGAGTATTTGGAGAGGCAACTGGATGAGCCGGCGCCGCAGGTAGAAAGAACTTAGTATCTGAGCGGTGTGGTCTGTTTCCTCCTGAAATCTCAACATCGGAGTGAGGGGCATTCCTTTAAGATCCAGGAGTTCTCCATCTCTTTTTGTACCGTGAACCTCCTTGGCAGTAAGGTGAAGTCCCCGGACTCCTTCTCAGAATACTTTTTTTTAAATACATAAACCATTAAGGGTTACAAAAGAACACAATCATATCAACATACAGTTAGCAAAGTATTAAATTTGTATTAAAGTCATATATGTGTTTTTTTAAATTAGGACACTAAATAAGACCTAGGGACAGGGCTTATAACTGGCAATTACAAAGCAGTGATAAGTATCTATTTGCCTGGTTGTAATGTGATGTAAAAACATCTACAGGTTCTATTGGTGACAAAGTCCTGGCTACTGCTTATGCTACTTTGATTTGTTGCTTCCATTCATAATTGAAGGAAATACTAACTTTCTCTTAAAGACCAGTTAAAAATAAGATTAGTTTTTGTCCTGTTCAAGTTCATGGACTCCGTGGGAAGGAGTTCATGGACCACTGGTTATGAACCTATGGTAGAAAATGGGCCTACTTTTACCTCTATGTTCTTCCCTGTTTTATGAGACTGTGTCCTCTTTGCATCATCCTGTGTCCCTGTGCACACACCCTCAGAGGACCTGTGTGGCCAGAGCCTTCTAAATGCTGAGCTGGATACCAAGGTTCTTGACTCGGGTCTATTGCACCCAAGCCCTGTAACAGTGGAAAGTCAGTGCAAGTCTCTTACCTTCGTTCTTTATAAAGGATGTGGGAAATTCTGAGCTGCACATGAGGAAGTAACTTGAAAACTGTAATTTTATAATACTGTAAATGTCTGGAAGTAAATCTGCATTTAATGAGGACATATCATATGCCAGGCCATGTTAGGTGGTTTCACATACTGTGATGTTATTTGGGTCCCCCAAATGCTGTAAACTAGAGATTGTAATCCCCTTTTCAGATAATAAAAGGTATCAATATTCTCTGAGAATTTTGCACCAGTTTCCAATGGGTTTTCATAAAACACAAATGTATATATGAAGTAGCATAGAGTAATGGTAAGAACATGTGCTTTGGCATCATTCTACCTGAGCTCCCATCCTAGCATTGCCATTTGTTAGCTGCTTAAACTGGCTATGCCTTCATTTCCCTATCAGTAAAATGAGTATAATAATACCTCCCTTATAAGATTGTTGTTTTCTGTGTTAAATGAGTTAACATTTATAATGATCTTGGAAATAGTGCCAGCCACCTAGGTAATTCTATGGAACTGTTTGATGAATAAATGAAAATAAGAACAAATGATTTCTAGGTTTCAGGTGTTGACCAGGGGCAAGAACTGCTATGTTGCAAGATGGCATTGTTGACACCAGCCCCAGAGTCACAAACTAGCCAATTTCAGCTAATGAAGGCTCTGCTCAAGCATGAATCTCTGGGATGCCAGCCCTTACAAGACAGAGGTAAGGATTATTTTCTAGGCAGTATGAATTCTGCAGACTTCATCCAATTTCATTTAAGGATAGCTAACAAAATTCATTGATAGGTGGTGTATATGCCCATGACAGATCAACTCTCATTTAAGACTGAGACTAAAAGGAGTATTTCCAACATAATGATGGAAAACTTTTTCGACCAAGACTGGACATAGTATATAAGATATTAGTAAAACTTAGGTTTGGAAAGAATTGGTTCTTGTTTGGATTTTGTTTTGTTGTGTTGGTTTTTGTTTTCTTGAGACAGGTCTTGCTGTTTCACCAAGGCTGGAGTGCAGTGGCACAATCTCAGCTCACTGCAGCCTCCACCTCCTGGGTTCAAACGATCCTCTCACCTCAGCCTCCTGAGTAGCTGGGACTGTAGGTGTGCACCACCATGCCTGGCTAATTTTTTAAAAAAATTTTTGTGGATATGAGGTCTCACCATGTTGCCCAGGCTGGTCTCAAACTCTTGGGCTCAAGTGATCCTCTTGCCTCGGCCCCCCAAGGTGCTGGGATTATAGGTGTAAGCTACCACATTGTGTATACCAGCTACTTGTCTTTGTTCTTCTTTGTTTAACTTGTAATTATGGAGGCCTCCAGTGTGGTGGCCAGTTAGCTCTGGGGATGGAACGGTCAGTGAGACTGTTCTTGTTCCAGTGGAGCTTACATTTAAGTGGGGAAGATGGCAAATAAACACATTAATAATACAATTCGTATGACAGTGGGAAGTCCTATGCAGAAAGTAAACAGAATTTGTAAAGCCAACCAGCCAATCTCATAAATTATAGGACTATTGCAAATTAAAGGGTATAAATCTTCTAAATCCTGGGTCTGTTATTAAAGTAATATGAAATTCACTGCATAGGAAATGGCTGTATGTTCTGAGATGTCCTTTCATGTGTCTTAAACACATGTACAAGTTCCCAAGACACACATCACTGGGATGTTCTAGCCAACATGAGATCTTTATTTTTCAACAGAGGTTCTAGCCTAAACCACCTGTTTTGTGCCCCTTTAAAAATTTGCTTCCTGAAGTTATATAAGGAATATATGAGGAATATACGTGCTTCCTGAAGTTATATAAGGAATAATAAGGAAACCTGAAGTTCTTTACTTTCCTGTAAAGCCAGACCCTTACTCTGCTTTTCATAGCCCAGCTTCATCTGACTCCTCTTAGCTTTTCAAATCCAAAGTGAAAAGCACCTTAACAGCTACTAAGGACATACTCGCCCAAAATCCGATTTTTCCTCCTATATCTAGCAAAATTCAAAGGATCTTCAAATGGAAAACTTTTTTATTTTTATGTTCTTTTTATTTCACAACTGCTAACAAGGATCCTGCCTTTTTGCATTGTTTTCATGTATCTGCAGAGCACAACAGGTATGTTTAGCTATAGGATTGCAGCAGGTAGGGACAAAGAATTTTGGAAAGGAGCACACTCTGTACAAACTTGTTTGGCAGGAATTTATTTATTTAGAGAGACAGGGTCTTAGTTTGTTGCCCAGGCTAGAGTGCAGTGGCCCAATCACAGCTCATTGCAGCTTCAGACTCCTGGGCTCAATCACGTGAGACAGGAATCTATTAATCCAGTTATTTAACTTAGATTCCACAAGGCAGGGAGGCTGAATGCCAGGGTACATCTCATACAGAGCTTCTTTCCTTCTTAGTTCTCCAGGTCCCTGTGCTTGCCCATGGAGGGTGCTGCAGAGAAGATACAGTGGTAGCTTCTAGGCTTACTGCAGAGTCCCAGGTGAGCTGGAGCCCCTATCCCTCCCCCAGTGCCCCTCACTACTGTTGAGCTTCCTGTGAAGACTCCTTACTCCCCATTCGCCTGTACTCCCATCCTAGATCCTCTATACAGATCTCAAATGGGATCTGCATTTTCTCATCTATCTTGAGGTTATCATTAACTTTATTTAGGTGCCCACTTAAGAGGCTTTTCCTGTTTATTACTAGCTCTTGACAGGGATGGGGATTGGGGGTGCTTCCCAGATCTTCCCTACTCCACCAGTTTGGTCAGCCCCTTCTTCAATGGGATTACCTACTGTTTTAGGGGTTGTTGAAAGTGGAAGATGTGGCCCTGACCGTCACCCCTGAATGGACACAGCAGGATTCATCTCAGGGGAATCTCTGTAGAGATGAAAAGCAGGAGAACCATGGCAGCCTGGTCTCCCTGGGTAAGACTAAAGGACACTAATTTCTGTTAAGGTTTCTTGGCATTCTTTGTGCATTAGAACCTGTTGAGTTGTTGGAAGCTGTTGAGCCCTATTGTGTTTGGATTCACAATCACCATTTCTGAAAACCTATTACTGACTAGCTCCTTACTCCTTTTTTGTTGTTGTTTTTGAGAGATAGGGTCTTGCTCAGTCACTCGGGATAGAGTGCAGTGGAACAATCATGGCTCACTGCAGCCTCAACTTTTTGGGCTAAAGTGATCCTCTTACCACAGCCTCCCAAACTGCTGGGACTAAAGGCATGCACCACCACGCTTGGCTAATTTGTTAATTTTTATTTTTTGTCGAGATGGAATTTTGCCATGTTGCCCAGGCTGGTCTCAAACTCCAGAGCTCAAGCAATCTTCCTGCCTTGGCCCCTCAAAATGCTGGAATTACAGGCATGAGCATGAGCTACTGCACCCAGCCTGCTTATCCCTTCTGACCTTGCTTTCTCCTCTCCCTGCCAGTATTCTAGTTGAGTTAAATGGGTTGAAGACAATACAGTCCCAAGTACAGGTTTGCCTCATAGGAGATGCCCAGTAAATGATGATGTACTCCTTCCTGATCCTATCCCTGACTGAAGAGGAAAGTTGGCGGGCCTCTTTAGAAAATGGGCCTTGGGACCATAGATTGTGAGAGTTAGAGGTGTTCTTAGACATTGACTATAGACCCTGACCTCAGAGATGAGGGTGCAGAGGCTGAGAAGACTGCCTGACTTGTCTGAGGCCACGTAGCTCATTGGTGGCATAAAATTCACAGCACTGAATCCAGTTCTGTTTGGGGACCCTGCCTCTGCCTGGGATATGAGCCGAGACAACTGTCTTTATTGTTTCATTGATCAGTGCCCAATTTCTGAGTCTCCACTTTCACTGTTTCGTTTCTTTCTTTCTTTCTTTCTTTTTTTTTTTTTGAGATTGAGTCTCACTCTGTCACCCAGGCTGGAGTGCAGTGGTGCAATCTTGGCTCACTGCATCCTGTACCTCTCATATTCAAGCTATTCTCCTGCTTCAGCCTCCTGACTAGCTGGGCTTATAGGCACCCACCACCATGCCTGGCTAATTTTTGTTTTTTTAATAGAGATGGGGTTTCACCATGTTGACCAGGCTGGTTTTGAACTCCTGACCTCAAGTGATCTGCCAGCCTCAGCCTCCCAATCACTGTTTCTCAAAGGTATTTCAGAAATCCTTCCACTTGCTCCATTTAATGTCACTTTCTGTTCAACTCTTTTAGTATCTAATCCTAGATGCATGGCCCTGCCTTACTATTCTTAGAACTTAGAACGACCACATATATCCCCAGCATAGTCCTGGATCCTCACCATCTTCCACCCACTCCCTCCACTCCCAGTGTGTACCTTTCCAATGGCCCCATTCCCATTCTTAGGTCTCCCTCCTCCCCAGCACTCCTGTTCTCCCCTTTTATTCCCATTCTTATTCTAGCACTTAAATCCTTATCCCAGGCATTTATAGACCTCTGTAATTCTTGCCTCCCTGGTACTCATCACAGAGCTTTCCTTCCATGGCAGGGCATAACCCACAATTGCCGGTTATTTGTTATTTCAGGTGGTGAAAAACAGACTAAGGGCAGGGACTTGCCTCCAGCTGAGAAGCTTCAAGAAAAGGAGCATGGGAAGATATTGTGCCACCTGAGGGAAGACATTGTCCAGATTCCTACATGCGCAGAAGCTGGTGAACAGGAGGGCAGGTTACAAAGAAAGCAGAAAAATGCCACGGGAGGGAGGCGGCACATCTGCCATGAATGTGGAAAGAGTTTTGCTCAAAGCTCAGGCCTGAGTAAACACAGGAGAATCCACACTGGTGAGAAACCCTACGAATGTGAGGAGTGTGGCAAGGCCTTCATTGGGAGCTCTGCCCTCGTCATTCATCAGAGAGTCCACACTGGTGAGAAGCCATATGAGTGTGAAGAATGTGGTAAGGCCTTCAGTCACAGCTCAGACCTTATCAAGCACCAGAGAACCCACACTGGGGAGAAGCCCTATGAGTGTGATGACTGTGGGAAGACCTTCAGCCAGAGCTGCAGCCTCCTTGAACATCACAGAATCCACACTGGGGAGAAGCCGTATCAGTGCAGTATGTGTGGCAAAGCCTTTAGGCGAAGTTCACATCTCCTGAGACATCAGAGGATCCATACTGGGGATAAAAATGTTCAGGAACCTGAGCAGGGAGAGGCCTGGAAAAGTAGGACGGAAAGCCAGTTGGAAAATGTTGAAACTCCCATGTCTTATAAATGTAATGAGTGTGAAAGAAGTTTCACTCAGAATACAGGCCTCATTGAACATCAAAAAATCCACACTGGTGAGAAACCCTATCAGTGTAATGCATGTGGAAAAGCCTTCACCCGAATTTCATACCTTGTTCAACATCAGAGAAGCCACGTAGGGAGAAACATCCTATCACAGTGACCCATGCTATACATGCCAGAGTTGGTGCTCATTTGTCACTGATCTGAAGCCACTCCCCCTGGAGTCTCGACTATAGGAATTGTGGGCTGGGCTTTATTTACCACTACACATTATCAGGTGTTAGAAAATATAGACTGGGTTAGACAAATTATCTTCCAAGTTCTAGAAGGTGTTTGGAATCAAAACATATTTGATAGGAGGCTATGGGAGAGTTGTCTAGAATAGGTAAGACCTGAAATGGTTTGTTCTCTCCCATTGGAATTAAATGGATGTTTAGACTGGCTACTTGCCCTAAACCAGCACTTTGTGGTGTCTGTTGGGTGGATGGTTGTGATTTGGGGGCTGCTTCTCTGACCATTCCTTTGGACTGTAATGAATCCTCCACAGTTGGTCAGATTCACAAAGTCTTATATCCCCCTCTGTGCCTTTTCCACAGGTGCTAATAAGTGTTTATTGAATGTACCAGTGAGATTACCTTCATAGATCTGAAAATCTGATGTTATCCAGGTTTCTGAAGAACTTCTCGCCAAGGCCATTTGTGCTTGTGTCCAATTCTCTGACCTAGATTGTGACTCAATCTAGTGCATTTCTTACCAAGTACATAGGCAGAGCAGAGGTGATGGCAGGGTTACTGTGATTGAAAGAATCCATTTTTTTGTTTGTTTGTTTTTGAGACAGAGTCTTGCACTGTCTCCCAGGCTGGAGTGCAGTGGCACGATCTCAGTTCACTACAACCTCCGCCTCCTGAGTTCAAGTGATTCTCCTGCCTCAGCCTCTTGAGTAGCCAGGACTACAGGTGTGTGCCACCACACCTGGCTAATTTTTTATATTTTTGGTAGAGACGGGGTTTCACCATGTTAGCCAGGATAGTCTCGATCTCCTGACCTCGTGATCCTCCTGCCTCAGCCTCCCAAAGTGTTGGCATTATAGGCGTGAGCCACCATGCCCGGCCAAGAATCCATATTTCTTTACCAGACTAGGAATTCTATTCTAGTGCAAATGCCTTAAACAGCTTATCACTAAATCATTATGAATGTGTGCCATACATGGAATTGCATTTTTTTTTTTTTAATATGAGGTCTCACTGTGTTGCCCAGGCTGGTCTCGACATCCTGGGCAATCTTCCTGCCTCACCCTCTCAAAGCTCTGGAATTACAGGTGTGAGCCACCATGCCCAGCCCAAATTTCATTCTTTAATGTTTTCCTGTTGCTACTCTTTAAGAAAAAACTTACCTATTCAGACAGTGTGAAAATCAGTCATCAAGTCAGAATAAAATGATAAATATTCTAATGCTCCATATCTTAGTTCTCTCCATTTAGTTCTCTTGGGCCTAACCAATGCCTGCTAAAACAATAGACACTATCCTGCCCCACCCTACTACCCAGCATACACTGTATAGTAAACTGCAGCAAAACTTATTCCTGCTAAGTTCATACTTTCTCCTGATGAATGGATTCACACCAAATATTTAAAACGAGTATCACTTATGGTTTCAGAACCCCATTATTAGTGTCTGACGTCTTGGTCTTCTTATACATTGATTCCCAAATCGCCTGTGTGGTAACAGCATCTCAGTTTTTCATGATGACTATTTTAACCATAAATTTAACTCCTCAGGCTATCTACTTTTTTGTTAAACACACTGTGTAGATCATCTTTTTTTTTTCTTCTCATCATGATAGTCAAAATTTTAGTCTTGTGAATTCAAGTGAGAAAATGTTTAGTCAGGATTATACAAGTAGTATTTATTATGTATACATTCAGTGGAGTTGTTTCTACAAAAGTATTTTGGAATGACTATTCTGCTGCAAACTTTTGTGTAAGTGCTTCACCTTATTCCTACAATAAGGAGAAGTGCACTAACAAAATGAACAATGCAGCAAGGGCTTCAGTCGCAGCTCAGGTCTTATCAAACACGAGAGAACCCATCATGGGAGAAGCCTTATGAGTGTGACAACTGTGGAAGGCCGTTTCTTTTTTTTTTGTTTTCCTTTTTCTTTTTTTTGGAATTTTGTTTTCATTGTTGGATCTACTCACATTTCTCACTCGATTTCTGGCACCAGCAATCTCTTCCATATTTACAATATCAGTCAAAAACTCGGGAATTCAAACATAACAAGATTTTTCTGGTCACCTTTAATGGTTAATGACTTGGGCATTGTGATATATTATCTCCTGCTGTATTTTGTTTAGTAGAAATTGAATCATCATCCAAAATCCTTTATAGAAATATCCAAGTCCCTGTTTTTATGCTGGTTTCCAAGGCTTGGTCCTTCAAGGTTTTCAGGGATCTAGGGGACACAAGTCTGACAAATCCCAGTGTAAATTATTTGTATTATAGTAATAAACCATATGGTTACTTCGTTTGAGTGGATTCTTAAATTGAGAAAAATGCATTGCATGATTTCTAAACTTCCTAAACATACATTAGGATTCTCCAGAGAAATAGAACCGATGGGATCTGTGTGTACATATGTATGTATATGTATGTATGTGTATTCATATATATTTGTATTTATAATATTGGTTTATATATATATTATACACACTATATATGTGTTTGTATATATATTTTATTTATTGGCAAGAATTGGTTCATATGATTATGGAGGCTGAGAAGTCCTAGGTTCTCCTATCTGCAAACTAGAGAACTAGCGGAGCCAGTGGCGTGAGCGCCAGTCCAAAGACCAGCAGGTTCAAGACCCAGGAAGAGCCAGTGTTCTAGTTTGAGTCTGAAGGCCAGAAAAGACTGATGTCCCAGTTCAAGATGGGCAGGAGGAATACCCATCATCTTTTTTGTTTTCTTCCTGTCTTCAACTAATCAGATGGGGGCCACCCACATTAGTGGGGGCAGTCTGCCTTACCTAGTCCACTGATGCAATGATTCATCACATTCAAATTCAAACACTCAGAATAATGTTTGACCAAATATCTGGGCACTTTGTGGTTTGGTCAAGTTGACATATAAAACTGGCCATCACAATGCTATAGTTTCAACATTAAAACTACAGTATAGTATTACAGTTTCAGTAAAGCATTAAAACATTTAATCCGTGCTTCCCCCTTTTGTCAATTCTTCCAGTTGGCAGTAGGAGCCTGGGAAATAATGTTTGTAGCCTCCCTACCCCACTTACGGGTCAGGATAGGAAACGGCTGGTATGAGGCAGGCTGAGGGACAAGATAAACAACTAGATCACCATTGTATCCTCAGCATCTAGCAGAGTTCCTGATAAATGAATGATTCTGAAAATTGGCTGGTTCTACTTGTTCTTTTGTTTTATTAACATAACATAAAATCTCCTGACACTGAGTGCCAGAGACCAAAGTATTCACATTCATATTTCCAGATATAAAAGTCTTCCCTTATTTCTAAAGAAATTATGTGTTTATAACCATTCATTCAGTAAACCTGATTGTGTTAGGTCAGGTGCTAAGGAATCAAAGATGAACAAGACATTATCTCTGCCCCCAGAGAACATAAGACCTAAATCATCTTCTGTCTTACAAGCTATTTTGTCCATTTCTGTTCTCACTTTTGTGCCGGCTTAATAGTTCTTCCTTCAGGGGAATGACTGCACCAATGGCTGCCCTGGCAACTTGCATCTCTTCATATGAGCCATATATACCAGGATTTAACACCAGCTGATCTAAGCCTTATAATTCACCTAGACCATGAGTGCATGGTAGGTTGTGTGAGGAGCTGATACAATGCCATTTCTCACACACTTCCCTACCTACCATGGAGGCTGTCCTGAGACAGTTTGCTCTGATGAGGAATGAGGCTTTCTACCTCTCCCTATTTAAGGTATAACTGCAAGCTATAAACTGCTTATCTGCAGAACAACATCAGGTTCTCAGCAACAAAATGTTTCACCATATGTGTTGCAGTCACATGACCTCTTCTGATGCCATCTTGTGGGGAAAAGACATACAGAACTGAACTGTTTTAATCCAGAAAGGGCTTATTTCTTTTCTGATCAAATACAGTCATGCACTGCATAATGACACTTCGCTCAATGATAATTTGGTCAATAACAGACCACATCTACAAAAGTGGTCCCATAAGATAATAATGACAGGCTAGGTGTGGTGGCTCATGTTTGTAATCCCAGCACTTTGGGAGGCCAAGGTGGGAGGATTTCTGAAGGCCATGAGTTTGAGACTAGCCTGGGAAACAGCGAGACTCCATCTCTAACAAATATAAAAGTTAGCTGGGTGTGGTGGCATGCACCTGTAGTCCTAGCTACTTGGGTGGCTGAGGTGGGAGAATTACTTGAGCCTAGGAATTCAAGGTTACAGTGAGCTATGATTGTGCCACTGCACTCCAGCCTAGGTGGCAAAGCAAAACATTGTCACACAAAAAAAGATTATAATAATATTTTTACTGTACCTTTTCTATGTTTAGATACGCAAATACCATTGGGTTACAATTCAGTATGGTAACATGCTCTACAGGTTTGTAACCTAGGAGTAACAGCCTAAGTTTGTGTAAGTACACTCTGTGATGTTCACACAATGACAGAATTGTCTAATGATGCATTTCTCAAAACATAACCACTTTCATTAAGTGACACATGACTATATGCTAGCCTTTCCTTGACAAATTGGTGCCAAACACGGGACTGGTAACATTACAATGCCCTTTCAGAAGAAAGACAGATGTGCTGCCACAGGACTGGATAGGACACATGATAAGATTTCCCAGGATCTGGTAGCACATGTTCTTGCCTAAGTGGCGGGCAAGAAGGAAGGAGTAAGAGTCTTCCCATTGTATTAATAGCTATACTGCGTTGGCTAGATTATAGGATGTGAATAGACTCACCAGGACCCAGTATCATATGCCACCTGCTGATGAATGTTTAGAGGTTAAGTTACTTTAGGTAGGATTGAACCCAGTTGCCCAATGCCTTAGTTGTTATTAAAAGTTTGTTGCAAGCCAAGCATGGTAGCTCATGCCTGTAATCCCAACACTTTGGAAGGCCCACAGTGTATGGCTTGAGCCAAGGCGTTCAAGACCAGCCTGGGCAACACAACAAGACCTTGTCTCTACAAAAAATTTCAAGAATTAAAAAAAATAGCTGTGCATGGTGGCACATGCCCATGGTCTCAGCTACTCAGGAGGCTGAGGTGGGAGGATCCCTTGAGCCCAGGAAGTCTAGGCTGCAGTGAGCTGAGCTGTGATGGTGACACTGCACTCCAGCCTAGGCGATAGAGCAAGACCCTGTCTCAAAAAAAAAAAAAAGTTTGTCATGACTGAGTGGATGATTTAAAAATGAAAGTGCAAATCTGTGCTTACCAGTGTGGAACAGGTCTTCTTGTGCTCCCTTGATTTCTCTCTGGCCTATATCCAAACCTCAGTTTTTTAAGGAAAGAAGATTCTCTGGTGATCCAGCTAACTCTGCATGATGGACTCCTCCACATTACTTGGCACTCTGTGAGCTCCCGGCCAACAGTCTATGTG